CTGGGAGTTGAAGTCCACTCATCTTAAAGTGGCCAAGTTTGGACAACACTGCCCTAGAGATACCTTCAGCTAACATTGGTTATGTGTATTTGAAAATGCTTGTGGAACTCATCTGTTCATCATTTGCTATGATGAACATGTAGCTGACCTTGGCTGACCTCAGAACCTGAGCAGGGCAACTCTGGCTAGCAATGTTAGAGTTATTGGCTAGACAGAAAAGTTGAAGAAAAAAAATCCTGGTAGAAGGCAATGGCAAATCACTTCAGTAACACTATCCAGAGAATGGCAAAGATGAAATCACCAAATGTTTACTTGAGGCTATGTATTCTATCATACATTTCAGCAAGTTTTTTTTAATATAAGAACAACTTTAAGACAACTGCAAAATCTGCTTAATCAATTGATTAACCTCAATGTATAATTGTGCAGCATTTAATTGGACTACAAAGATGAAGTGTATCTGTTCTAATGAAAACAAACTTGTTTTAAAATAAGCTTGCCAACTTCTGAAATTGTTTCCTGAAGAGTCCTAGCCAGAATTACCTTTCAGAACTGCCTTCATCTTGGGAGACTTTTGAGAGAAACATCTAAGCATTTAATGCTGCACTTGACACAATTAAGTCAAAATATGATAGGATCAATTCAACTGAATCTGACTATACTTAGAAGTAAATAAAAGCTGAATTTTGAGAAACAGCTAAACTCCTCAGTGGGTCAGATCTAGCTGAATGTAAAAAAGGTCACAAAGAAGGGAAATGCCAGTTATGCATTAATTTATGGTAAAAGAAATGGTCATATGCAATTGGCATTAAGACAAAATTATAAGTAACAATGATATGAAATATGACACCAAATCAAAGAGATGGCCACAAGCAGCCTAAGAGGATTTCAATAAGCTAGTTATATTCCCATCCATTGAATAAGCTATGAGAAGGCAAACCACAGTAATAAATAACAAAGTAGTTTGGTGTATTCCCTACGCGCGTCCATATTTTGTTCAACAACATGGTTTCATTTCTTCTAAAATACAATGTTCTGCCAATTTCCCTGACAATGTGAATCAACATTGCCCTATCCTGAGTAAGGATGTGAGGAACTGAATTACAGAATGAAATGGCAGCCTAAATATTTAGTAAGAGACATTTCTTTTTCTCACTGCTTATTACTGCATCCACATTTTTGCATAAAACTGCATGGGTAGAAGCATATAATAGGAAACTGCTCCTTAACAAAAACATGCTATACTTAGTTCTTGAGATGAAAATGAATTTACATGTTTTGCTACTGCTTCTGTTACTCCCTTTAGGTACCAGTGTTTTCACTGATGTGCTCTGAAACTACGTAGCTAATGAGTGTGAATATGTTTCATTTAAAAGGTGACATTGTGCAAGCAATGTTATATAATTTAAGATGAATGATTTTGGAATTTAAGAATATTACCCAAAACTGCCTAGACTTAAGCTGACAGTTCTTTCTCCCTCTCATGTCAGAACAGCTTTAGCTAAAACAACTAGAAGGTCCATGACACCTTTGCTTGCAAATCAACATCAAAGTATTATATTTTAGCCAAAAGAATAGAGACAGAGAAGCTAGAATTTGAAAGGATCACAGGAATCACTTTAGTGAAGGTTTTTCCTTTTTTTTCCAAATTAATAATTAATTAATGTTACTTGTATGCCACCCATTCCCACAGGTTCTAGGCAGCTAACAATGTAAACACATGGAATACCCTAAAGAACCCCAAATACATATAAGCATTAAATAATAAATAAATAAATACATACATACATACATACATACATACATACATACATACATACCAACAAATAGGAATACCAGATACCTTGAACCCTACCTTCCAATCAAATACTCTCCTCCTAAGGTAGGTCTTCAAAGTTTTCCTAAAGCCTAGGAGAGATGAGGCTGACCAAATTTCCATTGGGAAGGAGTTCCAAACCAGCACCTTGAATTGTACCCAGAAGCCAATTTGTAACCAATGCAATTCCCAAAGCAGTGTGACCACCAGAATAGATTAAAATACACCCATTACTGCCTAGGCCACTGCACTCTGCACCAACTATAGCTTCTGGATGTTCTTCAAGGCAATCCCACTTTACTACTGTAAAGCATGTTATAGTACTCCAAACGGGAAGTGACTAGGGCATGACTGTCTGTGAGCAGGAGGTCCCAATCCAGGAAAGGCCATAATTGTTGCCTAAGATGTAACTGTGCAAAAGGCCTTTTTGCTACAGCAGTCACCTACTCCTCAGAGCTATGGCTCTAGGAGAATTCCCAAAGTGTAGATCATCTCAGAGTGGGGGAGTACTTGTTCAGAGTCAGAAATAGTATTTCTCTGGATTGTTAGTGCCAGAACCCCCTTTAGGAAGGAGAAACATTGCATGACAGTATCCCCCTATTCCAATTCCTCAGACACAGTCCCTATTTCTTATTTATTGTACCAATTTAGGTCAGTTATATTGTGCCTAATGAAGCACAAAAATGAAGCAAAATAATTACAATTTACTTATTTCCAAGAATTTGTAGCAGGATTGTAGCTATGAAGCCAAATTCTATTCATCTTTACTCAAAATCTTGCTTTTTTTAAATGGGAGTATCTTAATTATACAGAACTTTTGTTCCAGTTGTATAAATGGCAAAAAAAAAAAAAAAGAGAGACAGACTATACTGTACTTTGCTTCTAAAACATCATTGCCCTTTCAGACAGTTTGAACTTTTGCACTGAATTGTACATTTCAGAAAATTATGAACCAGAATATAAATACTGACTCTAATAAAGTGTCTTTATTCCCTTTAACAGAAATATTTCCTAGAGACCTGAGAATGAAAGACAAATTTTTAAACCATTTGACAGGTAAGCCAAATTTAACTTCTGAATTATCACCTGAATTATAATCCTTTTTCTTATGGTACCAATTAAATCGATCCATTAATCTTCTTCTTCTTTTCCAGGTCACCTTTACTTTGGTCCAAAATGCACTAAACACTTTCATAGACTTTATCACCATACAAGAGATTGTACTATACCTGCATGTAAGTGCTATCACCCAAGATCAGAATTACTAATTAATAAATGTAGCTTTTTAAAGAATAATCACCCTGTACAATTATTATTCAATACACTTAAAATTTTTGTAGAGTTAAAGCCATGAAACAGAGCAGTGTGGACTGTAAAGTTTCACCTCACATTGACTAATCATAACGTAAAATTCCAGGAAAAGATATTCTAAACAAGTATTGTTGCAATTCCTCAGAGAGATCTAATGGTTCTAATTTGATAAATGATCATCTAAAACATATTTTTGCAAGCAGCCAATTTATTCTCCCATTATATGTCAATTCTTTTTGTTTTAGGATTTCAGTACAGTACCTTGGAATTTCTTAGCACATCAGATAACAGACATTAATGAATTAAATCTGCTTTGTGTTTACAGCACTGGATTATATAAATATACAGCTGAAAAATCCTGGTACTACTGTTACTAGAAAAGCAATTATTTAGAGTACAATTTCCTAAGAAAATGGAAAACAATGTGTACTATGCTGTTTGCTTTATTTATATTCTGAATTCTGAAAGGAGTAATAGAAATGAAATACTATCAGTGAAACAGTTCCAATCCAAATTCTACCATACATCATTAAATGGCAAAAATACATATTTTAGGTGATGACAATGATAATAAAATGATTTATTAGCTCCCACTGTGGATAGTTTTTCTTGAAGGGTTTGTATACTGGCTTAGATATAAAAATTCAAAATTTGTGCCAACTATGTCTCTCTCACACATTGTGCTAAATCACTGTTTAGTTAAGATCTGTTGATTAAACTAGCTGAAAAACCAACATTTGGTTGTTCAGCTAGTCTAACCCAAAACCAAGCAACCATATTAAGTCTTACTATAATGACCAAATTTATTTAGTCAAATCTAGTGAAAGGCCTCCCAAATAACAAGTTAGCAATCCAATAAGCTATATCAGTGTCCCATTTCCCAGCACTCTTAATTGAACAAAAATTGATTTTTTTTTTTAATAGGACTGGTAGCTGGGAGCTAGTTACATTATTATATTCTACAAAAACTAGATTCTGGGCAACATATGTTACCATATACCAAGGTTTTCCACCAAGTGCTTTTCACAGAATTTAAAGCCAATCCTGATTGCTAGAGTGTACCTACATGGTGTGTTGTTTAAGTGGGGCACAAGATAATTCACTGAAATATTATTACATCTTTACAACTTCCTATATTTATAGTAACAGGATGTCTGTAAACATATATAAGCCAGCCTTTGAAATAGTAGGCTTTCTTTTATGGTGGGACTCAGGTTCGTGATGGACTGAGTGGCGTGATTTAAGATGCAAAAGGCTGAGAATTGCTGTGCTAGAGAATCCTTGCAAATGGAAGATGCAGTATTCTCAGCTTCTTTTTCTTCCATGTTTTCAGCATCAGATTCCTCCTTTCCTCTTTCTTGCTACTACCCTGTTAGCAGTAAAAGCATTATCCTATTCCCATTTTAAAATGATAGCTAGATACTGAAGCTAATTTTCAAGATTAATTTGCCCAATGATTACCCTGAAACTTTTTCTTCTGACTTTCTTCAGAGGCATGGCTTAGTTATACATAGTTGACTGCCGTTGTGTGCTAACTGATTTTTCTCATGCACATGGCAAGTCTTTTAATGGATATCAGTAAATAAATGACCCATCATCTTAGCCTGATTAAATATGCATATGTTCAACAGTGTCATAGTCAAGTCAGTCTTCAAAGGATGACATACAAACTTATATAACATTCTTAAAAATCTAAATAGCATGTTTAAAATTAGCTCCTTAAGCATACAAATTCAGATCTACAATACAGTGCTTCAAGATGAATTACAGTTAAGTTTATATTCCCTCATACAAATTGCACATTTTAAAAAACACCGCCTCCCCATAAGCACTTCTTAAACTGCTACTTCTGTTTTTTTTCCACCACAGACTATAAAAGATGCGCCAGACTCCTTACTCGGTTGGCAGTAAGTCCAATGTGCATGGAAGGATAAGGTAAGATTTTTGAGAGGAAGACTTGCACGCTGCCGCTATGTGGATAGCAACAACTAAATTGTTGATATGATTAATTCATAAGCACTAGTAGAATATCTTTTGGGCTAAAGTATGCTTATTTCAGAAACAGTGATGCAAACCCTTTCATTTAGCAAAAGATTTACCATAAATAAAAGGATACCCCCTACTGGAAAGCAAGGCAGGATAAAGACTCTAAGGCAACAACTGTGAATTATTCATAGCAGTAGATAGTGCATCTATTTTTTAAATACAAAGCTAATGGGCACAGCTGATTTTTCAGGAATTAAATCAAGAGCCTTTAGTATAAATTTCTCTGTATTTATACTGGATAAATATGCATATTTTAATATTGAACATGCGTAGAAGCAATTGACTCATCTACACCATTCATAATATAAGGCAGTACGTAAATGCTGTTGCTTTCATTACATATGGAACGAAGTAGCATTAAGATGTATTTGCTTTCTCAATTGCAATTTGTATTCAGATTACTGGCTTAGCCACAGTATAGTATAACCAGGAACTATGAATGCCCCCAAAAGAGAGTTATTGAATTATTTTCTCTTTAAATCAGTTATTCGATATAAAATAAAAGGAATTTAATACCATTCCTTCTATTTCCAATGTTCAAGTTGTGTGTGCTGAGCTTCAGGACACCAATCAGAATCATCCCCATGCAAAAGAATGTCATGAGTAGGCTTGGCAAGGAGAAACTTGGCAAGGTGGAAGGGGTGATTGGAAACTGGGAATATCCTACTGTACATTATAATGTTTTGTTATAGATCCTGCTTGCTCTTTACACTTGTTTTGTTATCCCTTGTGTAAGACCATTGAAAAATTATAATCAATTACATATCTTAGGCACAGTGATAAAGGCAACAAAGTGAAATACAAAATTATATTCACATAATATAATCTTTGATAATCCAGAGTTTAGATTCTTGCGTTAGGGAAGGTTTCTCTCATTTCTCTCAGTCTCTATATCCCGATAGAAACTGGGAAGCAATCTGAATTATTATTTAAGAGAGTTCATTGAAAATTAATGTGAAATAATCAGGACAAACAGAGCTTAATCTTTTGTGCTTTTGTTTTAATTCAGATGCTACTATTATCAAAGGAAAAATATATAAAAGAACCAAGAGAAGTGCCTTGGAAACTAACAGGGAAATTGAACTTAACATTTTTGTAATATATGGCATTATGAACCAGAGATTTATTTTTGCAAATTGATGGACTACTTCTCATAAATCTTTAAACATGTGTTTTGTATCCTGTCATCACTGTTTACAGACACATTCTTCATAGTGAAAAACAACCAAAAGTAATTAACATGTTTTATGCTTTAAAATTGCCCTACAACAGTTGTGTTGTACTGCCAAAAAAGTAACAAGCACCATCTTTTCAAGTATAGACATGTTTCCCTTAAGAGACATTACAGCACGCTGTCAAGGAAACCTGCCTGTGGAAGAAGCATCATTTGATATCTTTCTTGCTTATGCAATTTGACATGTTACATTACAAACTTTTCATAAAGTTGTTATGGTGGTGGACTACTAGACTGCATGCCATAGGCAAGGGATGAACATGTTTTAGGTTGGATTCTGTATCCACTCTAAAGTCACTTGTTTCCGGTATAATAGAAATATACATTCCAGCTAAATGTGCAATATGTAAATATTGTAAATTCACAAATATATGTAATAAAATGTTTTGTATATAATTTGGTTCATGTTTATTCCTTGCACATTCCAGTTTGGACGAAATTATGCTTCTGAAGCAGAGGTAGGCAACTTGATGCTTTCAAGATATGTTGGGTCACTATTCCCATAATACTTGACCAGTGTATATTCTGGATGGATTTCACAGGTTGCAACTCAACAAGTCTGAAGGGCATTAACTGATCTCAATACAGGTAGTCCCTGGGTTAAGATGACCCGTAGTTAAGAACAGAGCCTATTGTAGCAAAATTCAAGTTAAATAAACAATAATTCGAGTTAAATACACAATGGCTTGAGTTCATTACACAATACTGTACAGTATTATACAGTAATACTGTTCTGGCTTAGATACAAATTTGACTTAAGGACAAACAGAACGGGAACTCGTTCTTAAACTGGGGACTACCTGTACTTCTAATGTAGGGATGGCAATGAGCACTATATAATTAAATATACTTAAAATTAATTTTAAAGTAACATGGCACTGCAAAGTGATTGCAGTCAGCTGCCACAGTGTATCTGAGGGCATGTTTCAAACACTAAACTTGCCAAATAGCTCTTTTAGGGTGATACCCTATTGCCTACTCAATCATGGTATCATCCTTCCCATCCTACCAGTTATTATGCTAACTCTAAATCTGCTTCACCTACTTCCACTGCAAAATAGATGCCACCACTTTCAAGCTAGGTAGAATCTTGGAACTGGAAGACAGCATTCTGGCCATTGAACTCTTGCTCAGTTCAGATATCCAAAGTAAAGTGTTTTTGACTGATGGCTGTTCAGCCTTTGCTTGAATACATATAGGGAAGGAGAACCTACCACCTTTCTAGGCAATTGGTTCCACTTTCAAACTGTTCTTACTGAAAGGTAAGGAACCCACTTCTTTATAACTTAAGGTCATTATTCTGTACCCTGCACAATGGGAGGAGAGACATTTTCTCTTTGAAACATTTCTAAAATGTGATGCTCGAGCTAGGAATGAGGTCTGACCACTGTAAAATGGAGACTGGAATGATTACATAAATGCAGCCTAAATTTATCTCCTTTCTGTAGCCATGTCACCCTCATTACTTACAGTTAGACTGAGATCAGCCACAACTCCAAGATCTTTTGACAATGTATCATTGTCAAGCCATTAATCTCCAAACCTGTAGCTGGGCCCATTTGATTTCCACTATGATCCTTGCATTTATCAGGGTTAAATTTCATTGTTACTTTTAAGCCATTTCTCTAATCCACCAAAGTCATTCTGAATTTTGTTTCCTATGATATGAGCTATCATGCCCAATGTTGTGTCATCTGTGAGCATCATCAGAATTGTGTGTTTTTGTATGTGCTCAAGATTTTAATAAAAACATTGAATAACAGGACTTCTCTCCAATTTGATGAGAAACTATTCTATGAGTATTCATTTCAAACCAACTATGGGTCCACTGTGGGTTCAATTAATAGGTATACCATTCAGAATGGTACTTGGTCAAATGCTTTATTGAGACCAAGATATGTTATGCCTATAGCATTCCTGGAAACTACATGATCAAAGAAAAAAAATTAATTTTGTCTTGTTTAACAACAACGTTACATCAGACCATAAACATAGGTTCTGTATATCTTTCGCAGCTGGAATTGGTTTCTTAGTTTTAATTAACTGTAAACATTTCTTTTGTTATATCTCCTAATTAGTTAGATCTCCTGCCCTCAAATACACGCTCAGGTAAAGTTATAACTAATTAAAGCTTTTTTATAGCCTTAATTTTTTCAAGCTAAATCAATACGTAACTGTTTTTTGTGTATGTAAACATTCAGTACTGGCACCAATTATCCATAAATTGAGACAGAGCTTAAAAAATACCAGAGACCTGGGGGAAATGTAACTTTCAAAGTCTGTTCACAGGAAGCAAAAGTAGTTAAGGATATCTGGAGTAAAAAGTCTCATGTTTGTCTAAATTTATCAAAAGTAAGGAATTTGCTTGCAATAATCATTAATACCATCAGAATGTGTTCCAATCATTAACTGTAATAAAAATGGTTATGATCAAATCATTCTAAGTTAAAAAAAATTCTATCAAAAATTGGTGGTTATAAAACACTAATGTCAGAATTTACTGAAAAATCCCTCTTTGTCCAATTAACTTATGAAGAATAAGATAAGCCTTATTGAAATATATTTTTCCTTGTTAAGAATGTATTTTGCTGCCAAAAAGTCCAGTTAAGGGAACTATATAAAACATTTATTTTTAATATCCTTAACAGGTGATCTAAGATTACAGAGTCTTATTTCTAAGTGGTAAATTGACAGTTATGATAGAAAAATATTTTGTACATTATCAGGATCAGGTTTCATATATTATCTCTTGATGCATAATTTATTTACAAAATATATTTACAAAGTTACTAGCTATATCGTAAAATGAAAAATTTACAAGAAGTAAAAAAGTGTTTTCACTATTTTTTTCAGTCTTGCACATACTAAACACAGGCCTGGAAGTTAACTAATACGGCTGTAAATTAACTTGAAATAAAACCTGATATTCATCAAAACAAAAAGAGATTAATAGGGTATGCTTTAATAGCACTTGAGCAAAGCATCTAGTAATAGGAATTATGGCTAACTTAAAAATGAAAAATTCAAAAGATAACACCGACAGCAGTGAAGTGCTAAATTAAGCCTTGATACACTACAGGCCTATCAGGTTTCTCCTTTTGGGGAGACTTGAAGGCACACAAAACCTAACTCTAAATGTATCTTTGCTTTTGAGAAACTTCAGCCATGTCCTGAGTCAATGAACTGCACCATTAAGCCCATTCTTTTTCTCCCATACTAATACTTAGCCAGGCTTTCTGAAACATAACCGTCCATCAACTTCAGTGGAAGTTTGCTCGGCCAGCCCACTGCTTTCCAGGACCACAGAAGCCCAGCTATTCATATGCAGACTCATGCTAAAGGCGCTGAGCTCATGATTTCAGGAGCAGCAGAGAGAAGAAAAAAAAAATAGTGCTGGATTGTACTTCCCCATGCAGTGTTTATAAATATTCTCAGCTAAAAAGGGATTATGGCAACTCTCTATTTTGTCTGCATTTTGCAATTATTCATACTCTAAGTAGAAGATGAAGGTTTTGGCAAGCAATTGTATACTAGCCTCTCTTATCTTTTAAACAACTAACCACACAATATTACACTGCATGGACTGACAATAATCAGTAGAAATGACTCATACAATATTTACAAGGAATCACTAGTTCATGTCAACATCCTGCAGCATGTGCTTTTTAATAAGCAGATCTTTGCCAGTTTACTATGGAGTTTGCTGCCTGCTTCCGTCTAATAGCTTTTCTTTGGCTCAATCTTGAAGCAACCATAAACAACATTCTTTCAAAAGAGGGAGGGAGTAGGTGAGGAAAAGAGAGAAACCAATGATGTCAACCTGCAATCACATATCATTCCCAGTGACATAGGGAAGAGCACGAAAAAATGGCATGACATGTGAGGGGAGAGTTGCGGTTTTATTCCCACTGGAAAAACTACAAACTTTTAGGTTTTTAAATCCTTCCCTCGGTCACCTTTCGTCTTCCACAAAATATATACAAGGCTGCATAAAGTTACACTTATGTAACAAACAAGAACATTGTGATTCTATAACTAGAATTTTGTAGTTTGTTTATATTATAGAAGTTAAGGAAGTTTACCCTTACATGGTCTAGTCTATCTCTATTGGTACTGGAGCTATAAGGAACTGATCAGAACTTGAGTTATTGTCTTACCAGCAAAGTCTTCAGAATGCAGTAGTATTTTCTTTCAAACATTATTTCAATAGCCTTTAAGGCTATTTTTTAAGTTTAAAAACAAACAAGCAGTTGTTTACTTCAATTCATATTCTTTAAAAAGAGATTATACTACCAGGAAATTCTAGGCCACAATAATTTCTTTTAATGTTAATGCAGAACTGCAGTTTATGCATTACAGCATAGTATAGGACTGAATATTATTAAGTCTTTCCTATATTATTAGTTTTCTGCTGGCTTACCTCCACATCTACATTTTGTATAACAAATAGTAGTGAAAAGATATCAAAATATGCAATGTTTCAGTCTTCAGGACTTAATCGTCTAACAATTGACAAACAAAATGTACATGGAAGTATTTATGAAGTTTCAATGTGAAAAGAAAAATGTTTAAATATCAGTGTAACACTAGCAACAAGAAATAGACATGAGCATTTTTAGACAGATGATACCACCCTAATGGCAGAAAGTGAAGAAGAAATAGAGCCTCTTGATGAGGGTGAAAGAGGAGAGTGCAAAAGCTGG